ATTTTTAAATTATATATCAAATATCTAATTTCACTCTACTTTATTTAATTATTTTCCAGACTTTGTGTGTGTGGGAGCGAAGATATGACAATGAAATAAAATATAGTCTACGAGAAGAAAGCAAAAATAATTGATTCCAAGTTCATTGTATGAAGCTCGAGACAAGAATAAGAAGCCTGGTTGGATAAGAGAAGATGTGTGGATAAATTTTTTAGCAATATGGGATAGTGTTGAATTTAAGGAGAAGAGCGAACGAGCAAAGGCAGCCCGAGCCTCTCAAAAGGGTGGCTCATTGCACATCGGGGGATCTATGAGTTTTGCTGCGCATCCACAGAGATTGGTAATGTTCACTAGAGACCTTAATTTCTCACTTACTTTTCCTATGTCATCCTCTACTCAACTCTTCTTTATAAATTAATTTCTCACTTAGTTTTGTTGGTGAACAACTCGAGATCAATAACAATAGTGACTATCATGAAAGCCATAATTTTAATTGTAATAACTTGCTGAGATTATGGATGTTTTTATTGTTCTCTGATTGCAAGATACACTTCCTCTCTGCTCCTGTATTTGCTTAAGTTTAATGCCACCGGTTTGTTTTCGGGAGTTATATGGTGATCATTTATTCTGTATAGCATGCTTTCCTTGGGATCATTATTGCAACTGCAGATGAATACCCGAATTTGAAGTGAACAACCTTGATATTATATGACCTTTCATAATATCTTAGGATTTCTCAATTGCTAGCATATCGTTGAAATCTTAGAAAGCTAAAGATGATTGGCTTTCTTATAGATCAGCATTCCAAACAAATACCATGAAGTTCTTCTCAAACTTCTGCGCGACTTTAGTAGTCAACCTGCAAGTGTACAAGATTCTCTTAGAAATTTGTTTACTTGCTCCTTATGATAAGTCTTCATTTGGTGGCCTTCAGTATGCCTCTCCCCAAATTGAATGTGGGATACTCTTGATTAGCACTTAATATATTATTCTTCTTTGATTATTGGTTATCTGAGGCTAAGCTGAGTGGCCCTGCTTGTGTCTCGGATGTCTTAGTTCAATTGTAGCCATTATCTTTTGCATTCACAATCTGTCAATGTCTATGTTTTCATGTAATAGAATGACTTGATAAATTACAAACTATTATCCCTTTATTAGGATAGAAGTTGCTTCTTTGAATGCAAACTCTTTGCAATCTGTCAAGTGTGTTTGTCATCTATGAACAATGTGATTGAGATATCACTGGTTTCTAACCAAGTAAATTCCAACTCGTTTCTTGGTTTTTGGTATAAGTATTTATTTCATGGGCAGATTAAAAATAGTTGCATAGTTATCAAAATCATAGCTAGTTTTTGCTCCTTATATTTTTGATGCTTTACTTTGTCTATTGGTATCTCCAATTTGACTCTACATTACCTTCCAGAGGAGAAATGTATATAGTGTGATCACTGTGTCTCTTCTCCCTATTCCCGAAGGTGTCATGCTATGTTGAGGAGGAGAGTAGACTATGGCCTCCGCATCTTCCATGTGTTCCTCATCTTCGTTAAGAAACACATTTGTATTTTGTCAAAATTGATTTATTTGCATCTGGTCTTTTTCATTCGTCATACATGTAAAACTAGGAAAGCACAACCGAATATTATGGAACATCAGTCAAGCAAGAAAGGTTTTTGGTTAAGTAAATCCTGAATATTCCATACCTCTCGTGAGAATTTGCAACTTCAGATGGCCTCTTAAATAACATGTTAACTCCAAGCCCGCGGTTAATAGCTTCCAGGTATTTGTTCAAGCTTATAATAAATTGACTTGTTCTGTAAGGTTTAAGCACAAAAAAGAAAGGTGAAGGTGTCTTAAGCCATAGTATCTACACATGATGACTAAACGTAGTGACTTGGTGGCTTACTGCGTCACAAAAAGAGTAGATTCTTATAGCGGAGAACACTTATGCAGACGTTTCCTGAGCCTACTAACTATATTTCTTAAATGCTGCTCCAATTCCTCAAGTGAAGAAATCACACTGCAAATGTAATTGACTTACTGGGGTTTGCAGTAGACAGAAAAGGGTCTCTGGGATGCAAGAGCATCAGACGCAACTGCAAGCACTCCTTTGATATCTTTATGAGTCCTTAACCTTATATATACACACTTCCTCTTGACTCTTGTCGCATTATGCTCTCTTCACTTGAGACACAATATTATCGATGTGGCATTTATTTGGACATCACTAGAAAAATTATATTTTTTATTGCAGGAAATATTAAAAGGGGGACCAGTGTCTGATGCTGAGGTCTTTGCGGAGACACATAAGGAAAAGAAGAAAGACGGTTCAAGAGAAGGATGGGTTGAGACACGTGCGTCGGAACAATATGTAAGATCATAACTTTAAGACTATTTTCACTTTGATGTTGATTTATTTGTATAATCCTTATTACTTTTATTTCAGGATGGATTTCATAGAAGCTTGGATGAAAGGTGTCAGATGCAGCCTATTTTTGATGATGGTACCCCAATCCAACCGTCACCCGATGTTATGACTTCAATATGGACGGATGTAGCAGGTGGTGTATCCAAAGGAAGAGTTTACCGGCTTGGAGTACAACAGCCTTCCTCTTTTCGTCCATCGCCATTAGTTTCGGATGCTCCTACTGCGCAAAATCAGGAAGAAATGGGAGCAATGCAAAAGAAATGGAGTTGTTGTCGAAACGATGTGAGATGGCCGAAACTCACATTGCTAGAATGGATAAATACATGAAAAAACACATGCCCCACTATTATGATGATGAAGAGACTGATTCTGATATGTAGTAGTGATTTAAGGTTGATTACTGTTCTTGGATGATTAAATTTTATATTTGGACTTTATGGTAGATTTGAATGATGTGGTATATATATGTTTAGACTTTATTATATTAGTGTCGATATGTATTAGCTACTCAGACTTGATATTGAATATTTAGACGTTAAGTAATATTTTGGTTTGATATTATGGGATTTGAATGTTTATTTGTTGATGTTGGAATTAGTTGGTTTGATTATTAGATTGTTTAATTGGAATTGGTTGTGTAGTTGAAATTGATTGGTTGAGTTGGTTGTTTAGTTGGAATTGGCTTGTTTATAATATTTGCATTTGACAGGTGATGTATTGATAATAAAAAATTTCAACCCATTTTTCCGACTACTGTAGTCGAAAAGTATTCCCAGCATAATGATTTTCCGACTACAATAGTCGGAAAATGAGGCCAGAATAATGCAGATTCCGACTACTGTAGTCGAAAAGTACAATAAAATAATAAATAAATAATTATTATTTGTATAATATCCCCACTACAGTAGTCGAAAATATTTTTTAAAATAAATAATAGTTTTTTGTATTTTCCGACCACTTCAGTCGGAAAATAGCTACATTTTCTAATTTTTGGCGGAAAATATTTTCCGACTACTGTAGTCGAAAATTTCCGACTACAGTAGTTGGAAAATATTTTCCGACCTATCTTTTTCCGACTACTCTAAATCAGTCGGAATAGTAGTCGGAATAGGTACTTTTCCGACTACTTTCCGACTATTTTGGTAGTCAGAAAATGGCGAGTTTCTTGTAGTGGGCGGAAAGGGGAGGGGATAGGGATAGTACTGCTCTTTACAAAAGTAAAGGAAGAATGTTTCTATTTCATTTTTAATGTATTTTTTTTTTAAAACTATGTGTCAATTTTTTATTCCAATTGACACGTGTCGTTTTTTAATTGGCTCATTTGACACATCATTGGCAAGTATAGCTCACGCATAAAGTCTTCAGCACTCGGGTGTTTACTTGATACACTTAATAAACACTTGAAGTGTCTAAATGGTAAATGGATCAGTTGGGATGTTCAGCTGGTCGTTAAGGACAACTTAAAGGGGCCGTTTATGTATTTCGCCTAAATAGTTTTCTATTTATCACTTAATCAAATGTTATTAAAATATATAATAGTAAATTTGTACAACTAGTTTTGAATATATATATTTATTAAATACTCGGATGAGATATCCGTGCAAAGCGCGTGCGTGGATACTACTAACACAATAATATAGAAGCTGACCTATATCCACTAGATCAAAACAAAAGTGTGTGGGTAAATCCATTTTGTTCTGTTCTCTATAAAGCAAATCAAAATTTAAAAGTGCCTACTTTCTTAATGAAAAACGAAGCACGTAGTAAAATATTCATGAATAAAAGATAAGAAATGATATTACTGTTTGTATAATAGCTTTATTTCCATTAGTTATTTCTTTTATTCTATATAAAGCATTTTAAAATTTAATGTGTTCAATTTCTTATTAAAATCGAGTTGTAAAGTTTCCACGAATGGAAATAAGTAACTATATTACTAAAAGTTGTGATATATTCATTCCTATTAATCCTGAAATATTTTTTATTATGTTATGATGTTGAAAAGTTTAGTAGTTAAAGGTATAATATATAAAATATCTGCTTGAAACCAAATAGTAGTAATTTTGTCCAATGAATTCTCAAAGACCGAAAGGATAAGATGTAAAAGCCAGCAGGTAGGTTGTAAGCTCCTAGTAGCAATGAGTCTGCAAAGTAACAAAAAGATTAATAGTAGTATTAATGATGTACAACGTTCTAGCAGCAGTCTCCCTGTTTTTTATGTTCTCCTCTGCCGCTTTCGCCCATCCAAATGAACAACTCTAGATTTCTCTCGTAATGAGCTCTTATTCTAAATTTTTTTATTCTCTTCAATTCTAAGTACTTTTCATCACCGACAAGAGCAAGGTCCCCATGGTTTGATAAAAAAGGCGAGGAGGATTATTTTCAAGAATGCTATTGATAGGCAATACAGTTACAGGAATACTGCAGCCATCTATGTTAACTGTACGAGTTGCAATACCACTAGCTTTTTGTATAATTTAGTTTTCTATATATGTGTAACGGCCCGACCGGTCATCTTGAGACTTAAGGTTTCGCTCACCGATTCAAGGTCTTGAGTGGTATCATATTATGTATTATGACTTGCGTGCATGGTCGGATTCGATTTTTGGATGTTTAGGGATCTATTTTGATGAGTGAGTCTCATTTTAGAAGTTTAAGTTGAAAATATTGACTAAGGTGTGACTTTTATGAAAAAGATCCCGGAACGGTATTTTGATGACTTCGGGAGGTTTGTATCATGATTTTGGACTTGGGCGTATGCCCGTAATCAAATTCGGAGATCCGTAGGTTAATTTATGTTGTTTTGCCGAAAATTGGCAACCTGAGGTTTAAAAGTTTGAATGTAGGTTGATTTCATAGCTATCGTGTTTGAATTTCTGTTACGGGACTTGGAATACGTCCGTTTTTTCATTTGGAACTTGTCCACAAAGTTTGGCATCATTCCGAGTTGATCTGATAGGAATTGGACGTGTGGTGGTGTTTTTAGAAGTTCTTGACTTTCATATTGATTCCATGTGTTTTGGAGGTCCGATTCACGATTTCGAATGTTATTTCGATTATTTGATCGCGCGAGCGAGTTCATGTTATATTTTTAGACTTGTGTTGACGTTTGGTTTGGAACCCCGAGGGCTCGGGTGAGTTTCATATGCGTTTCAGAGTGTCTGAAAGAGTTTTAATGTTGCTGATGTTGATCAGGTGCTGCAAGTCTCACAAATGCGAGAATTTGTTCGCATTTGCGGTACTAGCATATGCGATGTGCGAGATCGCATTTGCGAGAAATGGATTGAGTCTGCTAGGTTCGCATTTGCGAACCCTGTTTTCGCATTTGCGAAAGGGATTTGGGCTTAGCAGAGATCGCATTTGCAATCATCTTGATCGCTTTTGCTGTTGTCCATTGCGAACTATTCGTCGCATTTACGCTCAGAGCAGGGGTGTGAGGGGCTTCACTTTTGCGATCTTTTCCTCGCATTTGCGGGGTTCGCATTTGCGAACCCCAGGTCACAATTGCGACACCTACGACTGGACATAAGAGCTGAGGGACGGGATTGTGGTCTCATTTTCATATTTTGGAACCCTAGACTCGGTAGGAGGCAATTTAGAAGAGGGATTTTGATCTACAATCATTGGGTAAGTGATTTTGATCAGTTTCCAACTATTTAACATGATTATATGTGAGTTTTAACATTAAAATTATGAGAATCAAAGTAAATTTTTGAGAAACTTTGTCTATGTTTTTAAAAATAAGAATTTGAATTTTGAGAGTCGATTTGGACTCGTATTTTGAAACAAAACACATGTATAGACTCGTGGGGTCATATTCGAGTCATGGCTTGTTGACGCATCGATGTCGTCGTATGAAATTTTAGGTGGTTTTTAATGTGGCTTGTCAGTCGAGCAACTTGTACTGGGTGAGACGAGGTCGTCGGAACTGAAATCAGTGCAATCAGATTTATATAAATTAGTAGGATAATGTTAATAATCAGTTCAGAATGAGGAAATGGTTCTTGTCAAGGGGAGAGACTCCATGATTTATTGATTTGGCAGGTGGTTATGAGTTTCTACGTGTTGCTTTCATCGTTGCAGTATTGTGAGGGTTGGATCAGCGCTTATACGTGTTATGAGGTATATTACGGGCATCGGGTTATAGAATTTGCAGCTTCTACAGTTGGTGGATGTTAATATGGGCATACGAATTAGGCGGTGCATTGTGTGGTTTCAGCATGGGTGCATGTTCATGTTTGGTGCAGCGTGTCGAGATTGATTCTAGTGTTCGTATGCTAGAATCGGACCTTATAGAAAAATTTCGGATGTTGGAATTTGGTTCTAAGGCTTGGGGGCTAAGGTAGCAGGAAAGATCTTCAGTCTGGCTGAGCAAACACGCTCGTATGGGTTGTGGTGACATGGGTAGGTGCACGAGGTGTTAAACAGCAATTGTGGGCAACTCCAGAACGGTTCTTGGCATGTTCGAGGACGAACGTAAGTTTATGTGGGGAGAATGTAATGACCCGACCGGTTATTTTGAGCTCTAGCTGGTCGTTCGGCTGTTTGAGGCCTTGAGTAGCTTCACATTATGCATTATGACTTGTACATGTGATCGGGATTGAATTTCGGCAAGGTCGGAGTTGATTCGGAAGGAAAATTCTCAATTCTATTGTAACGACCCAACCGGCCGTCTTGAGATCTAAGGTTCCGTTCAGTGGTTCGAGGTCTTGAGTGGCATCATATTGTGTATTATGACTTGCGTGCATGGTCGGATTTTCTATTCGTATGTTTCGGGATCAATTTGGATGAGTGATTCTCACTTTAGAAGCTTAAGTTGAAAATGTTGACCGAGGTTTGACTTCTCTGAAATTACTCCAGAGTGGTATTTTAGTGGCTCGGATAGGTTCGTATTGTGATTTTCGACTTGGGAGTATGCCCGGAATCGAATTCGGAGGTCCGTTGATTTGTATTGTTTTGCCAAAAGTTCGCAATTTAAAGGAATATAATACTGATAAATTTGACCGTAGGTTTATTTCATAGCTATCATGTTTGGATTTCTTTTTCGGGACATGGAATAGGTCCGTTTTGTCATTTGGAACTTGTCCACAAAGTTTGACGTTATTTCGAGTTGATTTGATAGGAATCAGACGCGCGGTTGTGTTTTTAGAAGTTCTTCAGTTTCGTGTTGATTTCATGTGTTTTGGAGGTCTGATTCATGGTTTCGGATGTTGTTTTAATAATTTGATCACGCGACTGAGTTCGTGTTATATTTTTAGACTTGTCTTGATGTTTGGTTTGGAGCGCCGATGGCTCGGGTGAATTTCGGACGCATTTTGGAATGTTTGGAAAAGTTTTGGAAATTGCTGGTTTGAATTTCGGACGCATTTGCGAACCCAGTATTCGCATTTGTGATGGGGTGGCTTGGGTGAGCTGGTTCTTATTTGCTATCTCGATGGTCGCACTTGCGAAGTGTCCCATGTTCGCAATTGCGAACTATTCATCGCATTTGCGATGACAACAGGGATGGGAGGGGTTTTGCTTTTGCGATAGTCTCCTCGCATTTGTGACACCTGCAACTGCACAT